CAGGAACCATACTATTAATTAATTTTTTGGCTCAACTTGATGCAACAAAAATTGAGGGCTATTCTCACAATTAATTTAACCAACATAAATTAATAATGAGATTTGACAAAAAAAAAAAGTTGAATAGTTAAATAATCATCCAATGAAAAAATTTATCCAACACTTATTTATGCATATATGAACATTAAAACCTTTCAATATACAAAGTCATAATATTTCAAGCACAAGTATGAACTTTTGAGATTTTAATCAACTTATAAAATGATTAAAACCAAAATTTGTTCATCATGGGATTTAGCAAGTTAAAATCCAACCATTTAAATCATTAAAGATTGAATCTTTAACATTTTAAGGGCTTCAAAAATCATATTCACCATAAACTTTCACACTACAAGCAATTTATTTGCAAGAATATGAAATTTCAAGTTTATGTGAAATTAAGAGCTCACCAAATTAAGCAACCAATATGACTTCATAAACATGCTTAATAAGGAGTAAAATTGCAGAAGATTAATGGTATAATCAAACACATAATCCTACAATAGCATGCCATAATTAATCAAGGTATAAAGATTTAAAAAATTTCATTTCAAATGAAAAACCCTTCAAAAAACCACAAAGTGGGTAAAGTATGATTTAGAACGTCGATTCCACCCAAAAAAACACTATTTTTGGGTCAAAATCTGGGTTCGTAGTCCAAAATTAGCAATAATACAATTTTAATCCTATTAAAAACGAGGTCCTAATCTAATTAGGTTGCAATCCAGAAATTTAAATTCATTTTAAATCACCTTAATCAATTTTTAGTTGTAAAAATTAAATGCAAGAGGCTCTTATTGAAAGGAATGGTGTCCTTCCAACAAGTGTATTCCTCCAATAGACGGTTCAGAATTATTACAGAGCTAATTCTTCAGTAAGGTCAAGTGATCGGAATGCCTAGGTGGAGGCCGCTTCCGATCAGTAATATCAATGTACAATTGATGTTACAACTTAATCTTAACTGAACCCTTCGGGTCGAACCCAATCGAATCACCGATCCGAGACGACTAATTAATCCGAAAGGATATAATGAGTCAGCAGAGTTTTACGAATACAGACGTCGGATATCGAGCCTAGGGCGTCGAGACCGAGCGTCGCGAAATCACAAAGCAACAAGTATGAAAATAACCCTAACACCACACTGGCCTAGCCATGTGGATGCTAGGCTAGTTCAGGCTAGCATGCACCTAGCATGGCTAGGCGCAAGCCCAAGCACACTAGGTGTGCTAGGCGCACCATCGCAGCCTAGGTGCACCATCGCAGCCTAGGTGCACCATCGCAGCCTAGGCGCGCCATGGCAACCTATCGCAGCCCTAGCATCATGCCTAGGCGCTATCGCAGCCTTAGCGTGATGCCTAGGCACCATCGTTGCCATCGCAGGCACTAGGCGCATCTTGGGCACTATCGCAGCCCATCTCAAGTGTTATGCGCACCATAGCACACCATCGCAACAAGCATGCCTGCACACATGCGTGCCTTCGCATGGCACTCCATCACAACAGGCGTGCTTGGGTGCTAGGCACCATCGCAGGCACTACGCACAAGCACAGCACCATGGTAAGCCTTGTGTGCATGTGCATGTGCGTGGAGGGCATCGCAGCAGCAGTAGCATGCGAGTGTGTGCGAGGCTGGCGCGCATGGCTGGCAAGGCAAGGGGCCAGCATGCGTGGCTTGCTAGCAGCATGCATGCTGGCTATGCTAGCGTGTGTGAGTTGGCGAGGGATGATGCGTGCCAGGAGCCAGCACCAGCGCCTAGCACTGGATAGCACCAGCGCCTAGCACAGCCCAGTACCAAGCATGCGAGGATGCTGGGCAGGCTGGTGCAGCTGGCTGGGTTGGCTGGCACTGCTAGCTGGCGTGCTAGCTGGCAGCAGCCCAGCAGCCCTTATGGGTGAGGCGGTTTTGTGAGGGTGGGGACCAAGGCTTTGGGAAATCCTTGGGGATCAAGGCAATGGTCGCCCCCCCTACCTCTCTATGGTCCTCACCTAACCTTCTCTCTCCCTTTGACACTTGTTGCATTGTGATTGAATTTAATTATTGATTTATTTTAGAAATAAATTAATTGGCAAATTATTCATTCTCCCACATTGGTTGAGGAATGAAGTTCAAGGGTTCATTTCCCTATAAATACCAAGCTTGGGTATTGGGAAATGAACAACCTTGAGTGGAATTAAAAAGGCAACTCTAAGTAAAATTAAACCTTTGATTCGTAAAACTCATAGTTATTTTGTCCGGGTCTTGACTAACCTTCAAGACTTAGGACGCTCGGGTCGGGTCGAGGGTACGATCCGTCGGAGATCTTGTGTTTTCGGGATTTTGAAGTAAGAGCTCTTTGGGAGCGAAGCACGCGACAAAGGTATAATTCTTGTTCTTAATCTTGTTTGATTAAGTTTAATATGCTTGTTAATTGTTTTAATTAAGGGGCGGGTCTTGGTGGGTTTCCTTCCGCGTAGTGTCGGGTCACTACGAAACCCTACACTTATACCACTGTAGGGTTTTGCGGTGTCTAACACCGCGCGGAAACATAACCCGATAAATCGGATCGCATGCGTAATAATTACAACATAACAAAATGACATGCAAACAAAGAAAACACAAACACATAAAGAGAAGAGAGAGAAAGAAGCTCACCCTTGACGCGTGCTTCGCTCACTAATTGAGCTCAGACTTGGAAAAATTCAAGCCCCGCAAATGCAAGACCTCCAACGTCTCACACCTTTGATCACCAAACCGGCCCCTACCCCGTAGCTTAGACAGGGCTAGACCAAAATAACTAAAGTTTTACGAACTTAAGGCTTTCTCACACTTTGGGAGATTCCTTTTGAGTTCTACTCAAGTGAGTTTTTCCCTATACCCAAGGTGGGTATTTATAAGGAAATGCTCCCAAGAGTTTCCATCAACTTTCCATGTGAGAGAGTTGGCGAAATGTGAAAAAAAAATGTATAATTTAATTCTAAATTAAATCAAATAGCATGAACAATAATCAAATGACAAGTGTCAACACACAAGAGAGAGAGTAGGTGGGAGGACCACCTTGGCCTTGGAGAACAAGGCAAGGGGCTGCCCCAACCTACTCAGTCAGCAAGGGCAGCTGCTCAGCCTTGGGCGGCAAGGCCAGCCACGCTGCTAGCCTTGTGCCACAAGGCTAGGCCTACTGGCCACTTGCCGCAAGCCCACACCAGCTGCCGCAGGCCCACGCGCATACCGCAAGCCCAGTAACAGCAACATGGCCTTAGCAGCAGCACCGCAAGCGCCAGCCTTGCTGCTGGCCTTGCTAGGCAGGCCCAGCTAGGGTTGTCTTGGTGCGCAGGCCACTAGGCCACCCCAGCCAGCCCGCAAGCACGGTCAGCCTAGCTGGGCTTTGCGATGGTTGCGGTGGCTTGGTGGTTTAGTGCTTGCGACTCCTAGTCATTTGCCTTCGATACGAGGCATGATTAGGGCTCGTGCTATGCTTGTAATTTTTAGCACGATACGTCATTTGATTATTTTCTCGTCTTTATCGATTCCTAAAATCGACTTGACCTCACTGAAAAATTAGTTTTCCTAATTAATTCCGAACCCTCTATCGGAATAATACACTTGTTCGAAGGACACCATTCCTTTCAATATCTTCGTATGCCTTATTCACTTTATTTTATTTTTGCTGAATTGAATTTATTTTACTGAACTGAAATTAGTTTTATTGATTTTCTATTTTAGTTCTTTTTTAATGTTACTGACTTTTACTGAATTGAAATATTTTTACTAAACTAAAATTATTTTTACTGAATATTATTATTTTAAGGTGGAGTAAATAGGGTCATAATTGGAAACGAAATGTACTTAAGTGGTAATAAAAGTACTTCCACCGTATTTTTAGTTGCATCATTTGCAAAAACACGAATTCCTTGATAGTTTTTGGAGATGAGAGAGAGAGAGAGAGAGAGGAGCTATGAGAGATATAGAGCAAATTTATTAATTAAAAAAGAAAGTGATATATTTAATTTGAAATTTCTTTATTTAGAAAGTGACAAATCTAAAAAAAATATAGATATTATATTGATTTGAATACGAAAATATTTATTTTATAAGTTTACCATATACTCCGTTTGTCTTCATATGTTTTACTTTCATTTATTTTGTGGAATCCAATTATATTTTATAAATCTCTCTCTCTCTCTCTCTCTCTCTCTCTCTCTCTCTCTCTCTCTCTCTCTCTCTCTCTCTCTCTCTCTCTCTCTCTCTCTCTCTCTCTCTCCAATTTAAGGGAAAAGTATCCACATGTATGGTTTTCATTTCTGTTTTTTTCTTGATTTGCACGACTAGTAAATGAGTTAAACTCAAAATGTCATAGGGAGTAAAAAATAAACACATATTACGTATTTGAACATTGGAGGCACTGTCTTTGCAAGGTTATATTAGAATATTGATAAATTTGCCCTAATTTTTTGTATCTTCAATCTTGGATTTTTTGGCTATTTGTAAGAAATATTATTAGAGCAAACTCATTAATCTTTAAGGCTTCAATTTATTGATTGTTGTAGGCTGCATTAGTAAACTCTATTAACTATTTAAATGATTAATCGAATACATTATAAGTTTTTTGTAAGATAAATTTTATTATTAGTATAATAATAACTTTTGTAGTATAAAGGATAACTTTAAATACTTTTAAGATAACTTTAACCCGTCTTACAATAAATTAACGTACTGCATACAAGCGCCTTTTTGGAGAATTTGTGAATTCGAATTTTTAAACACTTGCTCAGCCAGATTACTATAGTATATAAATATATATAGAGAAAGTACCAACGTATGATTTAAAAACCGAAAAAAGTAATTATTTTATGATGAACAGACATTAGCTTCTAAAAAATCTTTCGTGTATAATAAAATGTTTTTCATTTGTTACTGCACTGGGAAGCAAATGCAAAAATAATCAAAAATTGCTGATCCTAAGAACCTTCTGCGAGGCATATACGCAAGACCAATGCAACAAATCAAATAATATCATTCAACAAGCCAAAATGAGTAAATCATGTACGTACACCACACGGTAGTGTATGGCCAAACTACAGATGCTACAACACCTTCCCATCCTACGCCATAAAATTTTGTCATTTGAGAAGATACATATTGCACAACATAAATGCAAACCTGCACATATTTAGATATGCAGGCGCTGCTGTCAGGCCTCACAGCTCATTAAACTTACTGGAATAAATCCAATATGCCTAATTCCTGAAACACTGACTAAAAGAAGTGTGGCCTAATTGCGTCTGAAAACAATTACAACTGCAGTGCAGTTATCTTTGCAGCCTCTCTCAAGAACAGCTTCTCTGACAAGCCGGCGACACACAGCAGCAACAGGTACATTCTCCTGTGAGAGATAGTCCACATCAAATACACCACACTTGAGATTATTAATGCACAATGATATATTCTGCCTCTGTTACCATGCCAACACCATAAGAATTCAATTGTAAAGCTGTACCTCAAATATTGATTAATATTATAGTTAAGATCCATGTTACTTACTCTTCATTTTACTTCTTAGTGCCCATGTTCAATACATGACAATTCACTTTAGGCCAAATTAAGGAAGTCGCAAAATACCCTAGTCAGACACTTGGACACATAACCATAACCAAGTCCAAGCAAACATGAACAATCCTAGTTGTAAACCCTTCCAATTCTACATCTAAGCTCTATTGCCTTATTTCTATTTGGTTTTTCACCCAAAAACTAAAAACAAAGAAAAAAAATGTACTATGTTGGAACTCATGAAAGATATTCGGATGCTCTTGCCTCAAGCACATATGATGCGATGGAAAAGTGGATAAAATTATATATATTGATTCCAATCTCCTTGTATGAAGGCAAACTGCAATAAATGACAATACTGGAGTCCCATCCACCATTATGGAATTTTATTACTCTACCTACGGAGTGCTGCTGAAAAATACAAGGAGCATCATCTTCAATACAGTTTATTTGTAATTCATTTCATTCCTAGACTAGAATATTACCAATGACCAAGCAGGCACACACACAGATACTTGCATATGGAACCACACACAACCGAGGAGTAACCAATTAACATTTGTAAAAATACCCGTGGCTACTGGCCAATCAATAGGTTATAGCCCAAGTAATTTGTAAGATAACCTTTATGGAAATCAGTTGACATACAAAGATTTGGTCTGAATTCAAAGAACAGAAGGCAATTGATGAAAATACATAAAGCAATATATTCAACAGACTAATAACCATAGTAAAAGGGAACTCATAGTAACAACTAATACAAAGTTCACTTACTTTTAAAAGCTTGTGCACAAAATCAACAGCATCACTAGGTCCAAGCACCTAAAATCATAATCATGTAATATAAACCTCCACGTTAAGGCATACAATTATGACAAAAAAAAAAAAAAAAAAAAGGAAGTGAACAAAGTCATACCCCCCAAAGGCCATCACAGCCAAGAATAATGAAGTGATCTTTTTCGGTGAGATCAAACGATTGGATGTGTGGTGTTGCGATAACACCCACCTGCAATTAATGAGTTCATTTTGAAAATATTGACAAGTAGGACAAGGATAGAGCTATTGCCTCTGACATGTCAGTCCCATTAACAAATATTATTAACGTCTCCTTATTTTGTTATACTTGATCTATGAGAAAAATTGAAGTGGGAGCTCATAAAATAGAATAAGCAGTAGAAATGAGAAAATAAATGACACAAGTCTTAAACCAGGGTGGACAGGAAACAATAATAAGTATGCCTAGGCTTCATTGGAATAAAGATTATCACATGCATGTGGAGTGAGGATGTCTACAACACCCTTAGGGAGTGATGAATTGCGCTCATGTACAACTTAAGTCAAAACAGAATCAATGCTACAAGCTCTCAAGGTAGAAACAACAACACAACCATTTCTACCAATAAGAAACATGTAGCAACAAACCAGAATTCTCATGAGCACACCAAGCCTATAAAAAATGACTCCTGTCTTGCGTGATACGGTAAAATGCAGGAGTCAATGGTGTCATCTGAGACTTCCCCATGCAAATGATCCCAACTGAAATGTAAGGCTAGGAAGCCTCTACCATCTCATCTAACACCATGTGATGATCCCCATATACAAACCTAGTCTACTAGAGTAATTTGATCAGTTTGTAGGCCGGAAGCAACTAGAGTAAACAAGGCATTTGTATGTGTGCAAGCACACGTGCTCCAATGGTGCATATACTTGTTACCCATAGGAAACTAATATTAAACCAATACAAGATGACTTCCAGATGTCAAGAAATCATTAGGACCTCAAAATGACAAATTAATCTCATCCTTACCTCATTTGACTTGTATAATCATAAAAAAATCAACTAGATTATTTACAATTCTTGAAAAGCTAATTGATGAAGAATAACTGACCGAAACTTTAAACAATAGAATTTAGCATTAACCTTTTTAAATTGTCGATCCCCAAAAGCTCTAGAAACTTCAAGGCGACCCTGCAAACGTCCAGTGGTGCTCACTGAACCTCCAGCCTGCAATCACAGCATGTTGAATATTCAACATCACAAAAAATGATTAGAAATTTTACTAAGGCACAATAGTACAGCATCTAAAAGTGTTGCCCCTAAACAATCTTGGTGATGACAATGCAATTTCATAGAGTTTGCTTATGTTAAGGGTTTATGTTGGATTCTTGAAAGCTTAATTGTCAATAGTAGTCAAGGAAGATCCATAAGTGGAGTTAATCTTGTTTTGTTACTGACAATTGTACCTAAATAATCCAATTTGTTCCTAGAAACACTTTTATGAGGAATAAAGTGGATAATTTTAACATAGTTGTACGGAACAAAAAAAGTTAAATAATAGAGGAAATAAGGGATATAACCAGCGAGAAGGCATAAAAACCTTTGCTCCCACGAAAAAAAAAGAAGAAACAAGAATTTTAATTGCATATGCTGCTTTCACGAATTTAAGATTCTAGTGGATGGATGTGTCTACCTTTCTAAATCATTTTTTTAAATGGAGAAGCCTATGCAGAACAACATTCAGAAGTATACATCCCCCTCGCTGTTGTATCTCCCAAACCTTTCAGGCCCTAATCCCTTGGAATTATTTTGACTTATTTCATACAATACAGGTTCATATAGATTCTGACAAATAAATCCATACAATGTAAGATAAGTTTGGATACCTTCTGCCAAATGATCCACTTCCTCCATTTTATTATAATCGCACCATTTGGTATGGGCACAAGATTTAAGAAAAAGAGTAAAAAGTGGGGAGTGTCAAATTTGCCCATGGGATACAAACAAATGAGAGAGAGAATAGGTGGGGTAATAATGGTTGTTATCAGTCCTTATCACATGTGAACAAGGGTAGTTAGGGTATTTTGTGTGTGAACACAAGCAAAAGGTGAATAAAACATACTAAATAAGGAAATGGTGCTATTAATATGCAACTTCCCAAAATAGAAAATGGTGCAATTAAAAACAAAACGGAGAAAGTAGTTGTTATCACATGGATCTATCCCAAAAAAAGGATCAAGAACTCAACAAAAATTAGTGGGTAATGCAATCACGCAAGGAAACACAACCCTTTGAATCTAATTATCTGACAACATTCTTTTCCCGCATCTATTCTGACCTTTTGAATTCGAGCACGCTCCTGCGGGTATATAGCTTTGTGTTCTCTAGTCAAAACAATGGCCCTCAAAGGACTTGAACCATTTGAGTTATTCTGGTCACCACTGTGAGATCTCGCTACCACTGCCTTTGCATCTCCAATGTTAGCAACAAATACCTATAGTGATATGTAATAGAGTGAAAATTAAGTACATAGAAAGATGCATCGAGATTGACATTCATGAACACAAATCTATATATTAATAAAAATGTCAGATTTTGTGAGAGCTCTAAAAACCCCCACCCTTGCAATTCTACAACATTTATTATTATTTTATTAATTTTTAAATTACCAATAACTAACTATTCCACATTGTAAAAAAAGGGATATTCCATTTGGTACCACTAAACTTTAGACTTTTCCAAATGGTATCCTTTTTTTTATCTTTCTTCCAACCGGTACCACTATACTTTTACACTAGTCTCTACTGTAAACCTACCGTTAATAAAACGTTAATTTATGCATAGGATGTACATAGTTGACTAATCTATTTACCACAAACTAATCTTTAGTTTTATTTCCCTTATTTTTTTAATTTCCCACTAAAATGCTTTCCTTTTAAAGCTTATAAGGTATCCATCTTAAGCATTTCTCTTTCCTTCTCTTATCCTTAATATGTCAGAAATTTAGAACATTATTTCACTCAACATTATTGGGAAACATATTAATGAAATCAAAAGAAATTGATAACTTGTTCTAATAACAAAAATCTGACAGCTTTAGCAAAATTCATTTACCAAATCAATTTAGTTCCAATTACAGAAATTGGACAGCTCCAAAGCAAAACCAAAACCTATTCGAATCCATACAACCATAATTAAAACATCTTAGTGGTATATCTCACCTGCCAAACAACCAAGTGAACCAACTGTGTAACTGCACATTCATAGCTCCAAAAAATTGATCTAAATTCTAAGAAATTTGATTAATATAAAAATAAAGACCATGGTACTGATACGAACATACACCAAAATTGCATGCCAACTATTTACTTATTTATTAGCTAAAGTGCATGTCAACTGAACAAACACAAACCCGACACAAAATAGAGCCCAAGTCAAAAAATTAGCAAACTTTACATTAACTTGAAAAGGTGAAAAGGGATAATAATAGGGTATGGAAAAACCTGAAATCAGTAGGTTGATGGTGGGGTAATTACGAGAATGCACAACTCAAAGGAGGGAAGTGAGTGGTAGATTCTGTTGCTGGGTGGAGTGATTAATTGTTTTTATTTATTTATTTATTTTATTTTATTTTTATTTTTTTTTTGGTTAAATGAAGCCCTAAAGCATAATTTAACATTTGTTTAACGGTAGGTTTACTATAAAGACTAATGTAATTGTTTAATGGTCTTCAGGTCTTGGAAGAAAGATAAAAAAAAATGGGTATCATATGGAAAAGGCAAAAGTTCAGTGGTACCAAATGGAAAATCCCAAAAAAAAAACACCTATTCTGCAATAATTAATTTTAAAACACCAATATCTAGATTTGTTTTTCAACACAAGAATATTCCTTGTATTTCAACCCAAGGAATATATCGTGCAAAGCACGGGTTCACTCTAGTCTATATAATATCTCTAGAGCCACTTTTAATGAGATGCTTTAAAAGCCACTCCCGCCCAAAACTCACTAACAATCCTACCTAATGTAAATTTTGAAAATAAAAACGCACTTTGTTTAGAATTAGCAACCAATATTGCAGGTTACAATTTCATGACTCACACTTTCTTCCTCTCTCAACAATGAACTACTCTACCAACCATCTCCAATTTATCAACTCTCCCATATGTATCCCCTCCACTTTCTCTCTAAACCTTCAATTTCTTAATTTGGGGATTTAAAAACTTTGACACAATTAAAATGTAAGTTGGTCAGTTTCCTCTTTCTCTCTCCTCTTTTCAATCATCTTTCCACCTTTTGTGTTTTTCTTTTTAACATAAAATCAACTTTTGATACTATCATATAATGGAGTCTTTTTTTTTTTCACTATCATTTATATAGTGTTTAATTCGTTTTCTTATTCATAGATATTAACACTAATGTATAATTTCTTGCTTTTTATGGGAACGAAGTTCAAGCAACCTTATTTCATGAAGATATTGATATATATAAAGAAAAAGCATATTCGGTTTCTCATCTAGAGCTTATCCTTCTAGTTTAATCTTACAAATATACCAATAACCAAATGAGAGTTAAATATGGTAATCAATCAATCGAAGCCTTAATCCCATAAGTGGGGTCGGCTACATGAACCAAATTTGATTATTCCGTGTAATCATCGACAAAGATGCTCCTCCATCCCTTACGATGCAATGCCTCATCCTCACGCAAATCCATATACTTCATATCCTTCCTAACTCCTTTCAACCAAGTCATTTTTGGTCTCCCTCTCCCTCGTTCAACCCCTCCATGGTCCCACTCTTCCACTCTTCGTACCGGTGCACCATCGAGTCTCCGTCTTACATGCCCAAACCAACGCAAGCGATTTTCCCTTAGTTTGTCTGCAATGCCCGCCACACCTACTTTCTTGCGAATAACCTCAAATCTGATTCTATCTCTTAGAGTGTTCTTGCACATCCACTTCAACATGCGCATTTCCGTAACCTCCATCTTTTTAATGTGCTCCTTTTTAGAAACCCAAAATTCTGTACCATAGAGCAACACTGGTCTTATGGCAGTCCTGTAGAATTTTCCTTCCAATTGAAAGGGAATGCTTCGGGTCACATATCACTCCGTGGCCGCTCTCCATTTAAGCCACCGTGACTTAACCCTGTGGACCACATCAATGTCACTATTTTTCTAGATGATCGACCCAAGATATTTAAAACATTCGCTCATGGAAGTCCTTTCCATCCAAACTCACCACCTCATTGTTTGTCCCCCTCTGAGTACCAAAGCGGCATACCAAATATTTAGTCTTACTCCGACTTAGCTTAAACCCTCTACATTCCAACCTTTGCCTCCATTGCTTCAACTTGGCATTAACCCCATCTTTAGTATCATCCACCAAAATGATATCATCCACAAACCACATACACCATGGGACTTCATCTTGAATTGGTCTAGTTACTTCATCTATAACCGTTATTAAAAGGAAAGGGCTTAATGTAGACCCTTGATGCAATCCAATTGTAATTAGAAAATCTTTTTTCAACCCTCCACATGTCCTCACATTTGTTGACACATCCCAATACATATCCTTAACCAGTTCCACGTACCTTCGTGGGATACCTTTCTTTAACATTGCCTTCTCTAAATCAATAAAGACAAATATATTGAAATGTGGTAATAAGACAAATATATTAGAAGTTTGATGATTGTGAAGATATACCAAGATAAAATTTCAAATTTGTTGAGCATTCCACAGTACCTTCACACGAGCAATTCTCCTCTAATCAGTATGTGTTTTTTAGTGATTAATATGTACCTAATTGATACAATTTCTTATGATTTTTTAATCAGTTTTGGAGTTTTATTATTAATATGATGGTAAATATAGCTCTTGAGAAGGTATTGTGGAATGATACCAAACTCAACAAATTTAAAATTGTACTTAGGTATATCTTCACAATCATCAAGCATTTCTACTATATTGGTCGTATTTACCCAATTTCTGTCTCATTTGGTTATCGACATATGTATTTGTAAGATGAATTAAAAGGCATAAACTCTAGATGAAAAATCAAATAGACTATTCCTGTTTTCAAGTTGTCTTTATATATATATCAATATCATCATTAAATCATGTCTCTCGAACTTCGTCCCCCTAAAAAGTAGGAAATTATACATGAGTGTTTATATCTATGAATATATAGAAAACAAATTAAGCACCAAGTAAATGATAAGAAAAAAAATTAAAAAAAAAATAATTCCATTATATAATAATATCAAAACTTTTTATAAGTGGCTTTATTATGATAGAAAATTTTTTCTTGAAAATTGTTACTTGTTGGTCATATATGTGTTGATATTAAGTCTGGTGAAAGACAAACATCTAATAGAGATGACTTACTCTACAACATAAAGTAAGAGCACATTATACAATTAAGTTACATTTGCATTATACCACAACTATGAACTTTTTTTTTTTTTTGGAAGGAAACTATGAATATTTGTAATGCCTATTTTTTTTTTTTTTTAATAACAAATCACATATTTTGATATGCAACATGAAAACTGTAAGGTTAACTTTTGAAAACATCATCAATTTATCTCTATTAATTTTCAACCAAGATTCTCTACTTCCATGGCCTTCTAACAAGTGCCATATGGTCCTGTAATCCCAATTTTCTCCATGCAAGTCATCCTTGCCCCCCACCCCCTTTCTTTTTAGATTCGTACTACAAAATCCCCTCTTTCCTTAATGGTGCGGACGATGTTCTCACCTTGCATGCTCAAATCAACACAAGTAGTTCTAACTTATTTTATCCCTCAATGTCCACAACTACTTTCTCTGAATATCTTTGTTTCTAATTCTATCTTTTAAAGTGTACCCACACATCCATCTTAGCTTCCTAATATGATCCTTCTTAGATCCCCAACATTTTGACACTAAGGTACTTGAAACTCTCACTCTACATAAATGCCTTACCTCATGCGGGTTCCAATCCGAATTAGCAAGGGTTTAAGCTCCAAGCTTTGGGAATTGTTTTGCGGATTTAAAGTGACGAGTTTAATGTGAACTATAATTAAAATTCAAGGAATAATATTGTAAACCTAGCAAGAAAGAGCGTCTCTTTGTAGTTGTAACTAGAAGAAGATCACAAGTCACAACAAAAGTCAAATATTTTATTAGCAATCAAACAAGCAATGCTTTGAGGATTAATTTCTAAACAAGTAAAAGTTAGAATAGATAGTTTTACTAAGCTAAGGAAAGTTAATCCCACTTTGCCTTGAATTTAAAGTAAGACACATCTAATTAACTAACTAACAAAAATCATATTTAAACACTAACTTAATAATTAAAGAAACACATGGTCAAATATATAAACTATAGAAAATAAGATTCTAATGTGGTTAAAAAAAAAGAAATCTTGAGCCCATGAACAAACCCACACATGAGTGAAAGTGTTGTCCCACGTTAAGCGAGTGTAAAAGTAAGAGTGAGTATTGTGATGTATATCCCATATTGAAGAAAAGAGAAAAATGTGGCCAATTTATAAGGCTAAGGGAGACTCCCCTTATTGCCATGTTGTTTTGAGGTGGAACCTCCTTGGACTTGTAAAGTGGTAAATCGTGGCAGGTGCGACCGATGTCCATTTAACATGGTATCCGAGCTGATCTAGGTTCCGATCCTAAACCAAAATTCATATTTAAAAAAGAGTCGTGAGTGAAGGAAACAAGTATCAGTCTTGTTTCATTAGTGTTTGTGCGTAATATTATTTTGAGTGAGTTTTGTGAGTGAATTGATTGAAAACCATGCCAAACGATGGTATCAACTCGTCGCCACAACCCATAATTCCAATGTTTAAGGGGAAGAATTACCATTTGTAGAGTTTGAAGATGAAAACTTTGTTCAAGTCTTAATAGTTTTAGGAAATAATTGAGCAAGGTTGTAAATAACCCGAGGAAGCAGTTCGAACCCAATCACAAGTTACAGGATAATCGGAATAGAGATGCTAAGGCTCTTTTCTTCATTCAATCGGCATTGGATGATGAGATTTTTCCGTAAAACAGTGCTTTCTCGAGTTCTTCATTACCTTGCTCTCATAACTCTTGAGACTTGGACAAAGTCTTCATTCTTAAACTCCACAAATGATGATTCTCCCCTTAAACATTGGAATTAAAGGTCACGACGACGAGTTAATACCACCATTTGCAATGGTTACCAATCAATTCACTAAAAAAACTCACTCAAAAAAAATTACGCACAAACACTAATGTAGCAAGACTGCTATTTTCCTCCTACACTCACAACTCTTTTTAAATATTAATTTTGGCTCAGGAACAGAACTTGCATTAGCTCGAATACTATGTTAAACGAGCATGCGCCACACCTGCCAAGAATGTCTATTTTAGACTTACAGACGAAATAATGCAAGTAAATCTACACTGATCAAAATACAAAAGTACAAATTTTCCTCCTATGAGACTATGCCTATATATAGGCTAAATACCACTGCAAAAGCATCCCTAAAGAATAGCACTAGAAAAACAATATTATGGGAAATGTGGCTATACACCACTTATTTCGTTGCTGAAGCATGGTCAATATTAAAGCAAGAATTTTTCAATGATAAGAAGGTGATGTTGTTAAACTACAAACTCTACATAGCAGTTTTGAAAGCACGGCAATGCAAGATGGAGAAACTATCCAAGGTTTCTTGTCTAGAGTATCCAAAATTGTAAGTCAAATGAGAATTTATGGTGATACCATCACTAATGAGACTACGATGAGTAAAGTGTTAAGTCTTCACAAAATGAAAGACTATAAGCATGTTGTTACCGCAATTTTAGAGTCTAAGGACTTATTAACTTATACATTTGATAAGTTGATGAATTCTTTGATGGCTCATGAGGAAAGAATAGATAAGTCTACAGATGAAAACGTCGAGGAGAAAGCCATTCAAGTTAAGGGGCAAATGTCGAATGATTAGCATTATCATTAGCATTATCACAAAGGTCATGGTCACGGTATGGGTAGTCATGGCAGTGGTCATGATGGAGGGGGTCGTGGTCCATTTGAAGTACAACGTCAATTCATGAGTAGCATTCAATGCTACTATTGCAAAAGGTATGGTCACAAAGAAGATAGGTGTTCGGATAAACAATGTGATGAGAAAGCAAAAGAGCACACCAAATTTGGAGAAGAAAGCAAGTTCTTCTAGTCGTGTGTTCTTGTTTGTCAAGGTTCATGGTCAAGCCATCAAGCGTGCATGTCGAGTGTTTTTAGTAGCAATCATTAAGTCCAAGTCCATTCCAGTTTGAAGTCGAGTGTAGCAAAGAGTAGAAGTTAATGGAGTCGTAATGTTGTATACTCCTTTGAAGCAAGGGGGTATGTTAAGTGGCGTGCTTCAAAGTTAGCAGAATGTTAGGTTCCTAGTTTTACGCTTATCCTAGGAAGTAGATTTATTTTGTAGTCAAATAAACTTATCATGTATTTGAATTGTAAGTCTAGTGGGATAAGTGGTGTATGGCCATGTTCCCATATTTCTGTTTTCCTAGCCTAGTCTTTTAGAATGTTTTTGTAGTGGTATTTAGCCTATACATAGGCATAGTCTGATCTCATAGGAAGAAACTCTGTACTTTTGCTTTTTGATCATGGTAGAGTACTTGTATGATTTCGTTTGTAAGTCTAAAATCTTTCGTTCGTTTTTATTTTTTACTTTTTTTTTTTCTGAACAAGAGAAGTCTTTACAAATGAAAGTTAAGAGCTTCTAAGCAAAATCTACTTAGAAAAACATTAAAGAACTGCCGAGAATTTTCAAGAACCTTCTGGAATCTCTAAGAAAATTCTAAGAACAATTCAATAAAGGAAATCTTATTACCATCCAATGTTACTATATTCTCGCTTGATAACCTATTAGCACTAAAAGAACCATTCCATGTACTTCATTTTACTCTGATAACTCTTGCTCTCCATTGCTCCCTTTTAGCATCAATTCCAACTCCAGTCTCATCATTATTGTTCAATATCATCCTCAAACAAAATTCACAATGGAGTTATAACCCGGATAGAACTTGTTAATTCTTCTAATAATGTTGCAAAGAGAAGGGACTACGTACAGATACTAGTTGTAGTCTAATCGTAATAGAAAATTTGACCCCATGCCCAAGAGCAAAATATGGAGCAAACTATTCTATTAACAGACATTAATGTGGATTATTCCTTTGAAAGGAAAAAAAAAAAACTCTGCATGCATCCAATGCTTTTGGTACATGAGTACATGAATACTAGTTATCTCATTCAACCGATTGATCAAAGGACTTATAAAGACATATCTGATCACAAGGTACCTAAGCAAAGTGACCACAAATATTTAAGAAACAAATGCTAACTTACTGTTTGTCCCAATACCCATACACATACAGCTGTAGCACCATCCTGCCAACCTCCTGCCAGAGACCACACCAGAAACAAAGACAGATTGTGTTATAACAAAATTTAAAATCATTACAGACATCAGAGCAGATTACTTCATCTTCTGAACACTAAGATAAAAGTGAGGAAAAGTACAAAATTCTCAGAAACATAATGCTTATATGCTAACAAACAAATGTAAAACATTCAGCCTTTCAGCAACTTGAGTTCCATGTGTAGTGCCCCCCCCCCTCCCAAACGGAGAAAAAAAAAAGACTTACGCTCCCACTTTGGAGTCTCTAGGGGAGAAAGTAAGAGCACGTGTGTTTAAACAAAAAGTTAAATATATTGCCAAACAAACAGTTCAACAAATAATTTAAACCCTTCCCCACATTATTCAATCCATCCAAACTTCCTGCTGGCAACAGCGTCAAGTCAATTAAAGCATTTGCCAGAGTTTCAGCGCAAAATCACAAAGCAAGAACAAGTGATTCGATAGATTGCCTAACTCTTTACAAGTAAAACATAAGATGGACTCGCAAGGTAAAGTTGCATCTTCTGCCCCAAACCTACAGGGGCAGTTTCTCAAAAACTTTAATCTGTCTAAACTATTTGTAGTGCTTTACACATCAAAGCTATGTCTTGGAAGTTGGAACTCCATCAAGGAGATAGATTCAGGGATGCTAAACAAAATAACAGTACACCAACTAGTAACAATGATAAATCCTTTTAAGTTAACAATATAGTTGAAATACTACCATCTACAACAACAATATCAGAGCTGTAATAAAGTGCTTTTCATGATTCCCTCATTTGAATCCTTCCCTTTCACTTACCTTTCCCCAAAGCAATATGATATTAAAAGACAACTGGATGTCTGTATTCCTGTTTTTACCCCTTCCACCCAGGTCATATTTTGGTCTACTTGGCTTTCTTTTTCTCCATTATTCAAACTCTAATCTTCTTAAAACAATGCTTCTCGATATTGGGATTTAATAAGTCAAAACTAGCATCAATTTTCCTTCATCTTATCCTTGATAACTGATACTCCGGCCCTTCTTCAAGTTACTTCATCTTATCCTTGATAACTGATACTCCGACCCTTTTGAAGTTACTTCATCTTATCCTGAATATACAACTCATAGCGGGATCGGAACCTAGCACAAGCGCTAACGAGACCCAGCAAAGAGACCAGCCCATGGATCAGAAGGCTAAGGAGATTTACACCATCTAACAGTACATGTACCTGGATATCTATGAAGCACTGACAGATATGGCAACGGGGACAAAAATGAGGAAAGATGGGGTGGAAAATGACAATAAAATTTCAATAACGGGTACGGGGTACAGCATGGATTCATGAAAAAAAAATTAATTTAAATCCATACCATTAGAAAGATAACTTCATACAATGTGTTGGCCAACAAGTAAATTGAATAGTTGATATGTATATATAATTTTTTTTTTTTTTTTTTAGATTGTCATTAGAAAAATATAGGGAAATCATACCATGTAACCTTGTGTTTTATACGATTTTCCTATGTAACCCTATCTTTTACCCCGAGGTAACCCTAAACTTGCAAAACATCATTAAATTGGATGGGTAAGGTAACTCCGTTAATAGTTTTCATTTTTTTCTCTTCAATCTCACTAGTTGAACACTCTCTCTCCATTAATGGTGGATCTTAGTAATATAATCTCTCGCCACCTCCTTTTTCTTCTTCTTTACAATTGAAAAACCTGACTTTGAACCTAACATTTTACTCTAAAGAGTGATTTTTCTTCTTTTCTTTTTATTTTAACCATTTTAATTTGAAAATTATTAACAATGTTATCTTTTCAATTCAATTTAATAAGTATTTGAAAGATTAGGGTTAGGAGGGCAATAGTGTAAAAGTTAGGGTTACATAAGAATAACACGTAAAATACAAAGTTACAAGGTATAGTATCCCAAAAATATAAGTAATTAGGGTTCGTTTGGTATTGTTGTGGTTTTCAGTTTTTTTGGTTTTTTTGTTTTTCAAAATCATGTGAAATATGTCATATAATGAATCAAAAATTAATCAAACTTAGTAAAATCATGATAATTTGAAAACTGAGAACGGAAACGTGGAAATCTTCCTGTTTTTGGTTTTTTGTTTAAAAAAAAAAACTGAAAACAAAAAACAAAAAACAGTGTCAAACAAGTCCTTAACTTTTTTCTTTTTATTTTTGACACATTGTTAGTATTGGTACATAAGATAAGTAGCCTTATTTTTCCTCTCACCATGAAAAAATGTAAATTTGTCAAAATAATAAATAAATAACTAAATTAAAAGAGTATGGTTACACAATTTATTTTTGCTTGTGTTGAAATTTCAAAATTATAAAGTGGGATGGCATAGGGATGACCATCCCCAAGGTGCCCCAATAATCACTCACGTTGTACCCACAAAAGTTAGTCGTACCCATTTTCAGTGAGACTTCCCGGGGACGTATTTTGGACGTACCTGAGGCGTACCATACCCGATACGTCCACGCTACAAGAAACACCTATTGATAGGCGTACCCGTGCTTCATAGCTGGACATTTGTGGTTGGATATTTGTGGCTGGATACATGTTATCCTTATAAAGTCATCCCTATTTAGTAACACGTTAATTATTATCTATAATATAATGATCCCAAAAATTAATATTATTTTCCTCACATGTTATTGGTCCCACTTTTTTCCCAACTTCCATGAAACAATAAAACAAATCAATTTACTCTCCTACCAATTACATTAAAAGATTACCCCCACTACCAACTTACACATAATAAAATACTAAAGTCAATTAATATGCTTAAACCTTTGTATCGGTCAAACCAAGTCAACTATATAGGGATAGGGGTAGTATTATGATCAGACTAGTGTATTGGAAACCGTGAAAAAGAATATGGGGCAACTACTTAGTAACGCAAGAAGTATACTAAATTGATAAGGAAAATTTTACTTCTTTCCATGAGTCGTTGATAGGGATTGGTAACTAGCAACTAATAAGTTCACTCTTCTTCTGATTAATGATAAATAACATTTACATTTATTTAAAAAAAAAAAAAAAAAAGGTATTTAATTTGTTTAACCTACTCAAAAGCGACATAGGTAATATGTTACTTATGCAATTTGATTATAGTGAAATTTAAACATTGTGAGAAAAAAAAAAAAAAGTATTAAAAAGTCTGTTATTCACAAAACAGCCTAAATCCACCCAGGCACCCATATGAGAATTGAAAAACAAAATAGTGATTAAACTATTATGACAATGTGATCTTAAAACCCATTATAATATTGTTATAATGGTACATATAATATTATTTTACTCCCTCCGTCCCTTATCTATATGCCTGGATTCTATTTCGGGGCAACCGAAACTACATGCCTATTTCTATCTAAAGATTGTACTTTTTGACAATATTCCACTCTTTTTTATGAGTTGTCATCATTTTTATTTTATTTTTTTGTACTTTTGATATCATTTTCCAACACTTACTCTCTCCATTGCTTTAATAATTACCAACTACCTTTTCTTTCTCTCTATCTCTCTCTAACCCTACATGCATATTTATAATTCCCAATCATGTGTTTTACGGAATCTCCAACTTCCTTAATTCCCATGAAAAATGAGGAATAAGCTTCTAGTTAAGTGACGAAGGGAGTAATTTCATATAAAAGTGGGTGTATAAGTGTATATAATAAGATAACTTAAGTCAACCTATAAGTCCATAATCCATTAAAAGTCAATCATCTGTAACGACTGCCTTGAGCAAGCAAAAGGACTTGATCACATACGTAAGAATGGGTAAGAAAGGACAGAAATGAGCCGTTAAGGGAAGGAGTAATGGAGCAGCCTCAAAATCAGTGAGCAGCCAAGGCAGAGCTGCTGTGAAGAACTGGCAACATATCACATTGTGACAGCTGCAACTTTTGCCTTTTGTCATTATCTTCTTTTGGATGTTTATGTACATATAAAAAGGGGAGGTAGGAGCCTGCTTGATAGCTGGAATATTGTAGTCATTTGGGTGTGGAGAGTTGTGACCTCAAGTAACAAACAGAGTGAGAGTGATGGCCTCAAGCCTCCTTGTAAGAAAGCTTTGCTCTTTATTAATGAAATAGCAGCCTGCTTCCCTCCCTCAATCAGTTTATTAGCTTGTGTTCTTGAGTATTTTAGTTGTTTAGTTGCACTAATTCGCTACATCATCCCATAAAGACCATCCCATATCCCATACCCTCCATTCTCACTACCCAAAGCCTCCATTTAATGACAGTAGTAATAGCAATAACGTAAAAATGGGATGGAACATTGTCAAATAATTTTAATTTTTCATACGCTAAAAGTCTCAAAACCTTCTATATATAGTTAGATTGGTTCATATTGAAGTGTTGTAGCATCACTAATAATTAATGTAGAGATTCTTTTTTTCTTTTTAGGTATAATTTATGTAGTACCACAGGCTATGTTCACAGGTAGATGCAGGTGGGTACCAGGCAAAGAACAGTTCAATCAAAAATCTAAGCCTATAATAGACACAAATAAAGAGATGCTGTCATTATTATCTGAAAATTAAGGTAGCCTCGGCCCTTCCCCAAGTGTCTTTTCAACACCCTAACAATGTATAAAAAAGCTCAATGTGCGCTAAAGTGAGAGAAATTCTGCTGCACCTAGGCGCGCCTCAGTATGAACAATTAAAAGATTTGGCTGTAGTTTATTTCGGATGCGCCTCACTTTTGCTGCCCCTCATGCGCCTAACCACAAACGCCTCACCCAGACCAAGTTAAGCGCTTAGCTTACACCCTGCCTCATCGCCACACTGCACCCTAATGTCATTGACGGATCTAAAACCTGACAGCTCCTTTGTAACACATGCCATTTGGTGGTATTAGTATCCACCGTCATCATCATCATGCGAAATGGTTTTATACTAAGTAAATATATATAAACACAAGCTGACAAGCATAAAATCTAAATGCTACGGGCCTAGGACCTCTGTCAATTAGAAAAAATTCACTAAAATAATAACCTATTAAGAATGTAAGTAAAGTAGCTCACATAAAGCAAAAAATCATTGCACTACCAGCTGCACTGTCTAGCAGAAGAGCTTCATCAGTTGTACGAAAACCTGCAAAATGGAAAATATAATAAAAATATGTGAACAGATAATTATTTAATTTGTTATTCAATAAGTAGGAATTTACAGCTTTTTACCATCAAGAATAGCTTTTTTGGTAGCTTTGACATCCAACTGCAGCTTAGAAAAATAAACCAAGTAAGATAAAAATCAAGGAACATATACAGCATTATTTAGAATATCAAGTACTGAAAATAAGGCACAAATGGCAGAAATCCGTCCAACAATATATCATGAATCATTTACATATAACACCAAGGCTTCCTGGCAGTTCCATACTGTATAGGCCCAAATTTGCACAATTTCTCCCATTCTTCAATGGATTAGTAATTGACTAATTGAACACCCATCTGGAAGGTGCAACTAGATACACAGTGTAATGAACTGACTTAAGGGTGGGCATTATGGGTAGTTTAGGTGTTAGTAGTTATCAAATGTAGTATGGGCAATTTGGTAAATCTAGTATTATTAGGTTAGTAGTTTGTAACCTTAGTATAAATAGAGGGAGGGTAAAGAAGAAGGTAGGCAAAAATTGGATTGAAACTTGTTGAGAGTTGTGACCTCAAGTCACTCATTTTAGAGAGTTGTGAGCTAAACTCACTATTGGAGATTAATAGCCTTAAGCTATTAAACCTATCCTTTGTAATCCTTCCACCATTATCAATCGTCAGTAAAGCTTCCATCTTTCTTATTTCTTCTTTATAAAATTATTTACCAAAAATCAGATTATTTAGCTAATCAAAGAACCAATCTTTTCTCTATATTTTGCTGTATTAGTGTGAGTTATATCAGTCCATTACAAGGGGTATCAGAGTGGTGGTCCTGCGACTGCCGGTGCTGGAAACCACCTTGATATTTCCCCAAAAAAAAAAAAAAAAAAAAAAAAACATGATTTTCGAGTGTGCTGAAAGAGGGGTGACACAACAGATGCAGAAGTGGATCCAGGAGGAGTTCGCATACATTTCCACCATGAGAGAACGAGGAATTTCAGATCCCCATGAAGAGCGAAGGGTCCGGTGTGAGCTTCAACTTCCAGAGTTTGATGGAAGACATATGGATGACTGGATCCTTCAATTAGAGGATTCCTTCCAATTTTTTTTCAATTCAATGAGGAGGTTTATTTGAAGGCTGCCATCATTGGGCCTACAGGCAAAGCATTGCAGTGGTTTGAATGCGAAAACCGATGGCAACCATTTCGAGATTGGCAAGAAGTGAAGAAGTGGCTGCTCTAATATTCTGGGTTGTGGCTACTAAATATGAAGGAAAGGAATGAGAAATCTCAGGAAGTATATGAGAAGGTGGAGGAAAAAGACCTTCAAGTAGATTCGAGGGTGGCAGAGAAAGAGACAGACGTGGTGGATTCACACGGTGGCCCCTCTACCGGGAAAGCTAATGGTGAAGGGTGCAGATCCGGTGGTGGCTCGGGCTGCTTGGCCGACAATTGTAAGTTAGAAGGCGGAGCTGTCACGTGTGGTGGTCTGAACAGAAGGAACGAATTCGCAAAAGGCGGGTTAGCGGCAAGTGGGTCAGGTGGAGGACCTGGAATATTCTCGGGTAAAGTCAGCGGCGGTAGCTTAAGCTTCTTCGTCGGCGAAGATTTTGGAGATAATTTCTCTGGTGGCTCACGCGGCGGTCTCGGAAGTGATTTTAAATTTTTCACAAGTGGCTATAGAAGCAATGATCAAAGTGGTCTTGCTGGTGGAAGACATGGTGATTTTTCAGTGGGATATACCGGCGAGGGTAGCACTGTTAGAAGTGAAAGTGGTGGTGAACATGGTGGTGTTTACAACGATTTTGAGGAGAGTGGCTGGGGAAGGAAACTGATGGGTGTCTTAGGTGGTTCACCAAGAGGAAAATTCAAGAGAGGCGGTGCCGGAGTAGGTGGATCCGGCGGTGGTCCAGGATTCCTTGCCGGAATAGGTGAATATGGTTGTAAGTCCACCATTAGCGGTGACCTGAACAGGGACAGAGGCAGCTTTGTGAAAGGAGGGTCTGGTGCGTGTGGGTCAGGTGGTGGTCCTGGATGGCGTGGGATGCGTGAACAAGGGACCTCTGTTGGTCTTACGAACATGAACGATGAGCTACAAAGTAAAGAAAGGGCAAAGAGTGGCGATTTTTCCGATGGGTTAACTTGTGGTGGTTTCTTGGTCGGAGGTGGCTTGTTCGAAAGTGGACTGGAGTACTTTGCAGGTGGTGGAGAGCTTCATGAGTGGTGGATATTTGGTGGGTTCCAGAAGCATCATGAAAAAGAGATGGAAGGGAATTTGACTAAGGGCTTATTCTGTTGAGCTTATTTCACTTCAGTTCCCTTCGGTTCAGCTCTAATCACTTCAGTTCAGTTCCTAATTTCCTTCTCTCATAAACAATTCATTTCAGTAAATCGAAACAGGCCCTGAGTCAAAGTTTAGCTTGGAGAGGAAGTCAGTGATAAAATATATTAGTAAGGGTAAATTCGTAATTATGAGGAGTGGGGACGTGGCAAAATATGGTGACAATGATGTTGACCATGCAGAAGTTAGGCTTTTTGTGGCACGTGATTTAATATCTGCCCATTTACCCACTCTCAATCCCTTTAAAGAGGTTTCGCAAAATTCTGGGCCTACCAAATTCTAGCCCAATTTGGTGGTAATTAGATTTAACGCTATGTTTTTAGCCCAGCCCTTCAAAACCCACAACTACCAGCATTCAACCCTTGAGCCCATAACCCCACCAATCTGTAAACCCAATTTTCTTAGACCAAAATTCCTTTTCAATTTTCCCTCCTACATCACCCAAAAACTACAACCTCTACATTTTACAACACATTTGCAAATTTTGCCTTGTTTTGGATGCCTTGATGACCTTCAGTACCGACTGATTAATTATCCACCTTTAGGACAAGGTGGAAGTTTAGGGGGCTAGTATTGTAATGAATTGACTTAAGGGTGGGCATTATGGGTAGTTTAGGTGTTAGTAGTTATCAAATGTAGTATGGGCAATTTGGTAAATCTAGTATTATTAGGTTAGTAGTTTGTAACCTTAGTATAAATAGAGAGAGAGTAAAAAGAAGAAGGTAGGCAAAAATTGGATTGAAACTTGTTTAGAGTTGTGACCTCAAGTCACTCATTTTAGAGAGTTGTGAGCTAAACTCACTATTGGAGATTAATAGCCTTAAGCTATTAAACCTATCCTTTGTAATCCTTCCACCATTATCATTCGTTAGTAAAGCTTCCATCTTTCTTATTTCTTCTTTATAAATCTATTTACCAAAAATCAGATTATTTAGCTAATCAAAGAACCAATCTTTTCTCTATATTTTGCTGTTATTAGTGTGAGTTATATCAGTCCATTACACACAGACTGTATCTAAACTTAATTTATTCATCAACAAAACAAGAAAAATGTTTTCCCTGTGCCAGGAAAACTATCAAATCCTTGAACTCTTTCTTTCTCAGTCAACATCCACTCCCTATCTTTCCGGAAATAGCAACCAAGAATTGTAAATTTCAGTGTTAAATTATGATGGGATTGAAGCCCATGACACTGTGATCAGACGACCAACAACATTGCTTTGAGCTTATATTGGCAAAACTCAGTGGCAGCTTTGTCATAGCCCTAAAAATTACGCTTTTAATTTATTATTGTATTCCTCCTAATGTATTCATAAAAGAAACATTCTAAATAGCTAACAATTAGGTATTATAAGCTAACAGGCAGTTGATTCCCTAATTGACCCTTAGAAAGCTAACTATAGTTGTATTATGGTTAAATGCAAAGCCCAGCGACCATGGTTATGTTTTAAATTAGTTTTCTGTAACCCCATCCTATTCTCCTCCCTCTCTCTCTCTTCTTCAAGTCAACCTCAGTTTACCCACCCATAATTCTTGCCTATCAACCTCCTCCATGGCTTCATTATCTCTATCCTATGTAATATATCCTTTTCACTTTCCAATTTCAACCCAATTCCGTTTCTTAATGTTGTAACTTTGTTATAATCAGCTTATGCTTGGCATATCCAACTCCTCCACAGTCTCATTTCAATGCAAACTCTGCAGATTAATTCTCCAGTTGCTTCGTTTGGATAGCAAAGTGGAAGGGAAAGGGAAGGGAGGGAATAAGAAGGAAGGGGAGGAAGAAGGTAATATTAAATTTTCCCTCCAAATCTTTCCAACATTGGAAGTTGGAAGGATTTGGTTTAGTAAAGAGAGAGGGAAAATGAATTCCACTTCCCTTACCTTCCCTTCCCTTCCCTCCTATCAAATGGCCAAAGAAGGGAGGATGAAGAGAAAAGAAGGGATTTATCCAAACAATGTGTTAGTCTATGTACATGGAGGAATAGACTTAAACATGATATGCAATTCAGCCAACTGCATAATTACAACCTCAAGAGTCAAGACTTCATACCCATAACTGCAATCAACCATGAGCCATTGAGCCATAATCAAATTTCACAAGTCCACTAAGTTGATTCCCAAATCCCAAAACAAAAATCAACCAATAAAAAACTCACAAGCTGAATAATAAGTTCTTAACTTAATCTAACAGTTATATGAATATTCAAGAGAAAAATCTTTATTTGGAGAGACATAATAACAGATTAGGAGACAAACACAAATAAGAGGGGATAACTATTTTTTCTATCCATCATAATTACCGCTCCAATCAAATCCCAATCCCTAAATTTCTTTCAAATGCCATTCAGTGATTTGGCATGTCACTTAAACACGTAGTTAATAACATTTCACTCTCCTCCAAAAAAAAAGGGAGGAAACTTCATGCTTTTCTAATTATGGATGAAAGATATGAGATAGACAAAGGAGGAGTAAAGTCAATCACGAGTACACTTATGAGGGGAAAAAATCCTAAATCGTGGCTGGATAAATAAAGGGTAGCATGGTCAATTTGCTACTTGTTAGATAGCTAAATAACAGATATTTAGCCAAAATATTCAAAGAGGTATCAAAACACACGGAACCCATAAATAAATAAAACATGGAACATGAAGCTCTACCCCGAATGAAAGAATTAAGGAAAACAAATTCGATGCTTTGTGAATGTATGGTGACCATAGAATTAAAACAAGCCCATTTCGTAACAGAATTTCTATTTGATATCTTGAAAATAGCTCACTCCATGACTTTTGTCATAGGTCACTGTTCGTTTATTATATTATTATCCCTAATAATGCGTTCATATTACCATTTATCATATTGACACAAATTGATTTCACATGTATGATAGAACTATACATAGTCCCTATAAATGTTTAGAACCTCCCCATTCTACGGTCTACAATGTGTTTATTTAAGCCTTAATTAAAATAATTACTCCAATAATCTTCAATTACAACAAACATATTTTCATTCCCTCAAACCTCAATTACATGGCAATGATTGCGAGGCACATCTTAAGGCCCACAAGATGCCACTTCATAAATATCAAAACTTTTACAGCAATCCAATTGTTAATTTTTATCCCCTAATATTGTAACAGCGCAACAAAGAATATTAATGGCAGCATTTGAGTATCAGCAGAATAATATATACTGTATATTTTTAGCACAAAGTAACAACCTTTGACACATATCAAACATAAAATGTAACAAATTAGGTTTAAAGGCACAAAAAAAGAAAATACATAAAGAATCACAAGGAATGGAAGACCACATAAACACACCAACTCACGTGATAATCCTGCTGAGAGAACATTAGAATGTAAATGTTTCTGCGCATATTCAGCTGCTAGCCGACCACCATGTCCATCATATATTGAAAAGTGTGCACATCTGCCAAGACCGTACAAAAGAAATGATAATTAGCTTTATTGGGATTGACATCTTCCTTCTTTTTGTTAGATTGGGAAGAAATTAAGCCAGCCAACAATCAGTTCCCATCTGTTACACTTCAAACATATAAAGAAAAATGAAGTCCCATAAAAATTTTGGGAAAGAAAGGACATGATATTAATATAATAACAGATAAATATATGGTAATACAATCTTTTGTAGATAAACCTTACACAAACAATTGGAACTGAAATAAATACAAAGGGGACAAGCTTAATCTATACTTAATAATTCCATTACAAACCTTTTGTATAACCACCATTGAAAGCATAGAAAAGCTAGCAGAAAAAATGCAAGGAGCAAGGAAATAAATACAAGCTAACAGAAATGAATAAAAAGAGACAAACTCAATCAGTCAATCAATAGCTGACGTACTCCAAAGCTTTTATACAAACACAATTGAAAGAACGGAAAAAATGGCCGAAAATGACTCCACATTATCAAGTTTTCCACTGCCGTCCTTCGACAATTTTATTAAAGAATTTCCTCAATCTTTCCCTTGATTGATAATTTGATACAAACTTGGTTCAGGTGATAACAATTTATTTTAAAAAGTAGCTCGGTTTGCGAAGCAACCTCTCTATTTCTCTCCCTCACCTCAGCCAAATTTTCACTCATTAAAATGTCTCAATGAATAGTCTTAGTACGTATTACAAATAATTCTGTGCCACTTCATAGAAACCCTATAAATTAAGGATTAGATTTACAACTTTGATTAATTTGCTAGAATTGCTCTCTTTGGCTGTTGGATTAATAATTTATTAATTTGTTCTTTTGTGACACATTCTAGAAAAAAATTCGACACATGCATTTGCTTTTCTTAATTTTTGCAACACTTAAAAATATTGGTTCTGGTGTTAAAACCTAGATGTAAAAAAATTTTCTCCAAGTGCATGCCTTTGATTCCCTCTACTTGAAGATGTGCACTTGTCTTTACACAATATGAAGAGTGGGGACTTTTTGCAACAATAAATTTTGCCTTAATTATAAAATCCACTGCTTTTTTTGTCCATGTAATTATCATACCTACAGGTAAGGTACTCCCTCTGTTCTTTTTGTATCTTCCCATTTGCATTTTGGGCAGTCTCCCATTTACAACTTTAAACATTAATATTTTTAATACTCCCTCGATTTCTATTTGTTAGTCTCATATACTATTTTGGGCGTTTTAAAAAGATCTACCCATATTGAATATATTCTATTTTTAACTTCTTTTTTTCCCTATTTTACCCATATTGAATATATTCAAAGCTTGTAAATTGAAGGCACATTGGTTAATAATACGTTAAAAGAATTCTGATTGGTTAAACTAATTGATTGTGTGTTGATGACATAGGTCTAAGTAAGGAAATCCCTCACGTAAATTATGCAATTATGGCTAATGCTTTCCCAAAAAAAAATCAAAAAATTTAAATAAGACAAACTAATTATGAGCTGTTTTTGTACTTTAAAGTTAGATTCCAAATATTCTTCTTTTCTTAATTTACGTGATTGATTTTATATGGGACTATCATATGGAAATGGACGGAGTATCATATTAGTAAAAATCTTAAAAGGCTAAATTATGAAATTATAAATTTAAATAAATCTAAATATATTTCATACGAATTTTTTTTTCTAATACATAAATTACAAAATGAGATAAAAGTTTTTAAAGTTTGACCAATTAAATAGTAAATGGAATAAAATAAAGAGAACGGAGGGAGTATGTACGATTGTGATGGAGTGAAGGGAGGTGGTTGCTTAGGTGGTAGGCATAGGCTATCCTTTACTTACCATGGTTGGAAACGATAGCCAAAAATTTCTACAAGCTAAAAGCCTCCAATTAACAAGAACTCTAATTGCATTTATGCAAAGTGATCAAAACCTCAATTTCTTTGCACAATGAAAAACAATGACGTTATGCCCAACCAACACCTCCATATTCCCCAATACCCCACGCAAAAAGAAGCAAATGGAGACGACGAGAATTGAGAATTGGAAAAAAGCATCATAAGATCAAACACAAATTCTAATTCAATAAGTTTAGTAGAGAATCGAGAATTTACCAAGATGTTTCAATTTAATATTTATTGGTGCAATGAATAGCAATTTTACTAAAAACACCTATAATGCACGTTACGGTTCTAAGCATAATGCATAACTCTACTCTTAACTTCATAACCAAATTACAGCTCTAACCATAGCTCCACTTTTGCTTAAAACCACATATCGACAACTTACCAATATACCTTTATAATTAAATTGAACCTATAATAGAGCCTTAAATCAAAATTTTATAGTGTTCTTGAATTAACAGTGACGAGAAATGTATAAAATTTAAACATCTAAAAAAGCCTAATCATATAAATTGCAATTCAATACTAAAATTGATGTTAATTAATACAGTAACAAAAACAAAAAACCTTAATAAAATTGAACCTATAATAGAGCTTTAAAACAAAATTTTATAGTGTTCCATAAAATGTGACAATCATAATAATGTCAAGAACAGTACAAAATTTAAACATCTAAAAAAGCCTAATCATATAAATTGCAATTCAATATTAAAATTGATGTTAATTAATACAGTAACAAAAACAAAAACCTTAATTTGGCGGAGTCGTCGAAATTAGCGTCAGGAAGTACAACCCAAGCGTCTTCCATAGAGTGCCTGGATCCCTTATCCTCGGCAGCAGCAGCTTCGATGGTAACAAAGCTGCTCGCAGAGTTGTCATCCTTTGCAGAATTTGAATTTGAATTTGGTTGGTGTTCCTCAAGATTTTGTGTGGCATCTAGTTTGGGTTTCTTTATTATAGTAGAAGAATCGGAAGATTCTGTAACAGGTTTGCGTTTGATGTTTGAATCATCGATTTCGAGGGAATCGTGGGGTGTTGCGCCGAGGGTAGAAGAAGAAGCAGGTGTTGCGGCCATATTGCTGGAGTCGGAGAAAGGAATTAGAAGGGGCTTCACTGCTTGAGGTGAGCGTGCCTAACTTTTTATTGGGCAACAATAACGAAAGTTTACCTCTTTGATTATTGGAAAAATCAAAACTAATAAATTAATAAACGATTTGCTAAATTGGTGTTAAAAATAAAGAAATTACTAAAATAGTGTTCACTTTAAAATATTTCTCAAAGTGGTGTTCACTTAGGATTGAAAAACTCTAAACCTAATTTTTATTGCTTCGTATTTAAAGTCTCAATAAAAAAATCATTGGAGTCTCAAAACTATTCTCTAAGGGTTTTAATTCACCATTGTTCCAAACGTTGATGTTTCATGTTACATATTTTTTTGACAACTTATATCGATAACAAATATGCTAGAAACGGACTGCAGCAATCTATTCACTTATTTGAAGCAGGGAAGCAGGAAATGTCTAACTCTGGTCGTATCATTGTTAGGGACATCCTTAAGCTACTTGCTTTGTGCTCCTTTATTGATTACTCGCAACTCGCAACTCAGCAGTTGTGAGAATGTGGCTGCCCACAAACTTGCTCAAAATAGTAGAAACTATGAGGATTTGAGAGTTTGGGTGGAAGAGAATCCTTCTTGTATTAGCTCTGCTATTTTGCTAGATATTTCTAGCTTAGCTTAATAAAATTCTTGGTTACTAGCTCTGCTATACAGCCTATTTTGCTAGATATTTCTAGCTTAGCTTAATAAGAGCAACTCCAATGGCAAGCTAATTTGACATAAAACTAATTTGACATGTAGCTTGGCATGCCACATAAGCTTTTAAAGTTAATTGTCATTGTAGTTACTTTGAGCTCCAATGGCTAGCAATTAGCTTACAATTTTAAATGAATCCCACCTCCTTAATTAACTTTTTATATTTCATTTTATTGATTCTTTATATTTATATATATATATATATATATATATATATAGGTAAGTTTTTCTCCAAATCTAATTTGCTTAACCAAGCTAATTGCATTTTCTAGCTCCAATGTTCAAGCTACTAGGTAGGGATTATTTAATGTTGCAAGCAAGTCCCTAGCTACAAGTTTACAACCATTGGAGTTGCTCTAATATTCTTGGTTACTTGCTGTCAAAAATAAAAAAAAATGCAAGAAATTATTTGAACATTTATATTAGTACATCATATTCATATATTCCATAGTGCTTATATCCATTTTTACTATTATTAAAATACAAAAGCATTAATGATGAATTGATGAGGCTCAATGCTAAAAAAAAATTAAGATATCGTAAGCATTATTTAAGATAAAGATGTTTGACTTGATAAAGATATATCTTATTACGCATAAATGAAAGTTTGGCTTGAAGAAATCCCACCTATTGTAACCTCACGTTCTCCTTGATTAAGGTTTGAGTAATTAATAAAAGGAACCCTCTTCGTGTTAAAAATAAAAAATGAAAATAAATAAATAAATAAATAAATAAATTCGATGGTATACATATTTATTTATTTTTATTTTTTTTTTGAAAGGGAGAAGAGGATATATTAATTAATGTCCAATTCCGCAAGACGAAGTACACCTTCCGGAAAAGACTCAAAGTAACATTGTTCAGGTACATCACGGGTACACGACCTGGCTAACAGATGAGCCACGGTGTTACCATTCCTCCTCACATGACTACATTTAAAGTAGCTAAAATTCGGAACTAACAGTAGGATCCTCTCAATAAACAAATACAAGTACGACAGCTCCTGAACATGGACGTTGAGCTTCTGTATAATATTAGCTGCATCACTCTCAACCCATACCTTCGTATACCCATTCTGGATGGCCAATTGAACCCCATATAACACCGCTGCAGCTTCAGCAATACTGGGATCCTAGCAGCCCGTTTGTCTCTTTGCAGCCGTAAACATTATACCTCCCTGTGAATCTCTTGCTACCACATCAATCCCAATACCCTCTCCATTAAAGGTGGCTGCATCAACATTTATTTTGACCACCCCTTTACTCGGTTTCGTCCAGGAGGAAGTAGAGCAGAAACTTCTGGTGCTCGGCCTGCTACATACCTTGGCTGTGTAGCTATTGTGCTCAGCAACAAATTTCAACAGCCCAATTGCAACATCATGAGGGTTTTGAGTTGAGTCCTCAAAAATCATTTTGTTCCTGCACAGCCACATTGCCCACATAATGGTAGCGAACCTACTGAATTGCTCTCTGGAGAAGTTCCGCAACCAGTGAGACAGTAAAGAGCAAAAATCATCCTCATCAATGGCTTCTACGTGGTCTCTGAATGGGCTTTCCTCCCACACTTTACAGGATGTAGGACATTGGAATATAGCATGGACAACTGATTCCTCATCCACATTGCACCTTTGACATGTCCTTGTGTCTCTCATGTGACGTCTATGTAATTCTTTTCCCACTGCTAGGGCCCTGTGACTTGCTCTCCATAAAAAGTGTTTAAGCTTCGGGGGGCCTTCCACCAACCAAAGGGGCTTCCAATAGTCCTCATTATGCAAGTTCTCAGCGCTAGATGGGCTATCCATACCGAACCAGTATGCAGATTTTACAGAAAAAACTCTGTTCTTTGTGAATTTCCAGACTGGTATGTCAGGACTAGGTGACGGAAGAAGGGGGATATTCATTATATCAGCAATATCCGTAGCTGCAAGGTGCAGCCCCATCTCCCTAACATCCCACTGCCCAGTTTGATGATCAATGATGTCACTTACTCTGAGATCAGGATCATGTAGTCCATTAGCTGGGGGAATGGGTATTTCGTTACCTGTCTCCCTAGGTAACCATTTGTCACTCCATACTTTAATATCCAACCCATTATCCACCCTCCATATTAAGCCTTCCAACAGAAGGGATTTTGCTCCCCAAATGCTTCTCCAAGTATAACTTGGATCAAACCCCCTCCGAGCCTCAATAAAGTCAGAGGACTTAAAATACTTAGCTTTGAGAACCTTGTATAGTAGAGTATCCCTGTCATGTATGAGTCGCCACCCCTGTTTCGCTAACAGGGCTTGATTAAATACCCTTAAATCTCGAAAACCCATTCCTCCCCGGGATTTTGGACGGCACAAGTACTCCCATGATTTCCAGTGCATTTTGCCGTCACCACCATTACCCCACCAAAACCGAGCCATCACAGAGTGAATATCATCTAGCAGTCCGCCTGGCAACTTGAACACACCCATTAAGTATGTCTGGATGGCCAGCACTACAGATTTTAGGAGAATCTCCTTTCCTGCTTTTGACATGAGTTTTTCCTTCCAACCCTGTAACTTCTTCCAAATCCTACTCTTCAAACTTGCAAAGATAATATTCTTTGATTTGCCGATAATGGTAGGTATGCCCAAATATTTCTCATGTTTTTCTACCTCCCCAACACCAAGTAACTCACAAATATCTTTCCTCTTATCCGGCCTCACATTCTTGCTGAAAGACACCTCCGACTTACTAAGATTGATTTTTTGACCAGACGCAGACTCAAAAATAGTGAGAATATTTGCAATCTTGGAGCATTCATTTATGTTAGCTCTAGAGAAAAAGATGCTATCGTCCGCAAAAAACAAGTGAGATATATTAGGAGCACCATGGCATACCTTCACCCCATGAATTAATCCTTCGCCTGCACAGTGAGATAAGAGTCTGGAAAAAGCATCAGCTACAAGCAAGAACAAATATGGTGATATAGGGTCCCCCTGCCGAAGACCTCTCGTAGGAGTAATATTCCCAAAAATTTCCCCATTTGCTTTGATTTAGAAAGAATAACAAGAAAGGCCTCTCATTATTTTTTGAACCCAGAAGTCACAAAAGCCGAGTCTTAGCATAACCTTCTCCAGAAAACTCCATTCCACCCGGTCATACGCCTTCATCATGTCAAGTTTTAATGCAATAGTCCCATGTCTCCCATCGCCCCTCCTTTTCATGTATTGAAAAATTTCAAACGCAACAAGGGCATTGTTAGTGATAAGTCTTCCAGGGACAAAAGCACTCTGTTGTGGGGATATGATATTTTGTAGCAGAGGTTTCAGACGGTTGGCCAACATTTTAGATATTATTTTATACACTACATTGCAAAGGCTAATTGGTCTGTATTCTGTAATTTTACGGGGATTATGACATTTCGGTATAAGGATAATGCAAGTCTTTCCAATATCCGAAATATCCAGTTCATAATACCACCAATCAATAATGAAATTAATAATATCATTGCCAACAATATGCCAAAACTTCTGATAAAAGAGAGTGTGCATACCATCGATCCCAGGGGCTTTGTTCGGATGCATTTCAAATAAAGCTTTAGATATCTTTGCACTTGTGGGAGCAGCGCAAAGTGTTTGGTTCATCTCCTCCGTAATCATACAAGATAACCCCTTTAATGCTTCTTCTCCATCTAAGGTCCCTTCAGTATTGAATATTTTTGTAAAATATTTCACTATAATCTCCTGAACCTCCTCCTTGCCTCTTTTCCACTCCCCTTCCTCATTTTTCAAGCCCCTTAATCATATTTTTGCTTCTCTAGAGCTAGCCTTGTGATGAAAATAGTTTGTGTTTTTGTCCCCATCACGGAGCTCACACGCACGAGCCCTGCTATACCAGTACGACTCCTCCATCAAACGGAGTTCAGCTAACTTTTCTGATAGGCGTTTGCACCGGGACAACCCAACATCATCCATGGCACCCTTCTGTATTTCTTTGAGCTCTTCCTCTGCCTTCCTCTTTCTCTTCTTAATATCACCAAAGGTCTTGCCAGCCCATGAGCTGAGAGCAACCGCACACCCTGCAATTTTTGTTTGTATTGGGTCATTGTAGGCACTACTCCAATAGTCTTTAACAACGCCCTCACACTCAGTTCTCGAAAGCCAGTGCTTCTCAAATCTGAACAACTTCTTGTTCCTCCCACCATCTGCACTACCATCCACCTTGATGACAATAGGGCCATGATCAGAAAGTTTTACATCAATAGGAGAATTAATGACACTTGCACCAGGAAATAGGGTACACCAGCCTTCACTAGCCAAGCCTCTATCCAATCTTTCCCTGACAAGATTTGAGACCGATAAGCCTCTCTTCCATGTAAATTTGCATCCTTTAAAGCCCAAGTCTCTCACACCCATACTATCCATCGCCTCGCAAAATCCATCCATACACCGTTCAGCTCTCGGAACACCTCCCACCTTCTCATCATCTGTTAGAATTTCATTAAAGTCGCCAAAAAAAGACCACTGGATACTCATAGGAGTTGTACAGATTCTTTAACAGACTCCATGTTTTGTGCTTATGTTCTTTCTCCGGCCACCCATATACACCAATCGCCCTCCACACAGGGTTATTGTCAGTTCCTACCACATCCACCGTTATATGGTTCTGGGAGAAAGAAACCATATTGGTCATTATATCTCTCCACCAAAGAGCAAGACCACCAGCTCTGCCACTACTGCTTACCTCTACACCTTCTGTAAATCCACATTTCTTCCGAACTCTCTCTACTCTTCTAGACTCCAATTTTGTCTCCATAATGAAGACAAGATTTGGCAACTCTCTCCAACACATTTCCCGGAGAGCGCTAACTGTCGAGGCATTTCCGACTCCTCGACAGTTCCAACTTAATATTTTCATTGTTGTTCGCGGGGTGAGTTGATACCCACCTCCGCTACTTTCATAGATATCTCGGTATTACAACCCTCAGTCATAAGCCTCCTCTCCTTTTTACCATCATACTCCTTCCCATCATACATATTTATTAGGATTTTATTAAAATAAGGTTCTCTTCAATAATTTTAATTTATAACCTAGGTTCGTAATTTCCAAAACTACATGGACACTAAATTGAGAAATATTTTTAGGTGAACACTATTCTAGTAATTTCTTTATTTTTCAACACCACATTGACAAATCGTTCTAAATTAATAATCCCACCTTTATCATTTTAATTCAACCATAATCCCATCTTTTTGAAATCTAAAAATCAATCCAACATTTAACCCCCATTTGCTCATAATAATTTTTTTTTACCTAGACCTTATTAATGGGCGGGCAAGGTCGAATTCGGACCGGGCCGGGACTTAAAAAATCAGCTTATTCCTCGGGCTAGGCCTAGCTTCGGGCTGAAAATTCCATGCCCAAACCCGTCCAAAATGGTGGGGTCGTACGGGCTTTTCAGGCCACTTTTGGACGGACCAAAAAAATGAACTAAAATAGCATAAAAATGCATTCCCAAACCCGTCCAAAAAAATAAATAAATAAATAAAAAAACAGAAAAGGCTGCCCAAAACTCGCCCAAATTCAGGGCGGGCCATCTTTGATCAGCTCTATTTTTACCCAAAACCTGCTTAATATGCTACTATTTTTTTTAAAAAAAATAAAATTCTTATATCTCCTCCTTCTTACATCCCACCTCCCAATCCTTCAATGGCAACACCACCACCGCCTCTCCATAACCACCATCACAGCCAGCATTTTATACCCACCTAAATACCTAATCTCCACCACGAACTCCCAACCCTACCTGCCCCCTCCCACCTGACCACTGAAATGGCCACTACCTGTCCCCACGCACAGAACACCACTTGACCCACCATTTAACCTTCGACAAAACCACGTCTTCGCTCTCCAACCCCAGCTGACCCTGCAACCCAACCCTGGCAACCCATATGAGCTCCACTCCTTAACTGAAACTCACCCCACCACTAACTCGACACCACACCCAAAAAATTTCTCTCATTTAGCAACCACCTACACCGAAAACCCACACCACCTCTCAACTCCACCATCCCACCACTCCACCAAAAAACATTAACCACCTATCAACTCCACCAACCCACCTCCATACGCCAATCTTCTTCCTCTCTCAAATTCGGTTATTGGCGTTATTATCAGTCGAAACCTCACAAATTAAAACTCGCACAATAATTGTCGATTCAAGGCTGCATTTATACACCAACGGGTGGGGGCTTTAGTTCAGTGGGTGGGGCTCTAACACAGCAAGGGGAGGGGAGCTAGTTCAGGTGGCGGATCAGGAGAAGAAGGAAGGGGAAAGGGGCCGGAAGGGGAAGGGGTTTTTTTTAATTATTAAAATATTTATAAATGACCGATCATAAGGTGACACGTGTCAAGTCACCTTCTAAAATATGTTACCAATTTTAAAAATTGGTAAGAGGCTTCTTTGGAGAAGATGGTTTTAATAGGTGGGATTGTTTCCAAATTTCGAAAAAAAATTGTTTTGAGTAGAAATGACAAAGGTGGGATTATTAATTTTCATTTTCCTTTGATTATTTTTATTTTAATCCAATTATATTTTTAAAGTTTTGTGAGTAATGAATTCTCTTAAGCCACTTATAAAGTTCTTTGAGTTTCTTGATAATTATTCTTATGAAGCTCTTCTAAAGTTTTTTGAGTTTCACTTTTTGTTTGTTCCTTGTCTTGATGTTTATCGGGTTCAATTTTCTCCAACTTGTCGTTTTGGAAATATGTTCCTTTCCAAAAAAGACACAATTTCAAGCAATAAGTATTATGTTCTTAATTGGTTAAAAAAGTAATAATACCCCTTTGTCCATTTCAACACTTACAAAGAGATATGTATATTGTCTTTAGGTAAAAGTTTATTGAAAAACAAACAGTTAGATCCCACTTTAGTTACAAGCACGGCACGATAGCGGCTCAACACGGCACGAGCCCGCTAGCGGCACGACATGACACGAAGAACGAGGGGTGGGCCGTGGGTCGTGCCGTGAACAAAGAAATAAAAATTCAGCACGAACTCGGCATAAGCCCGCGAGCGGCACAAATTTTTGGTCCGCCAGCACGACTCATAATAATAAAAATAATTATAAAAATATATATAAATAATAAAAATAAAAACAATAAAAAGAAACATTATAAAAATAAAAATAATAAAAAGAACTATAATAATACAAAGAACTATAAATAATTAAAATAATAAAAATATTAAAAATATTAAAATTAATTAATTAATAATAAAAATAATGGGTTGGCCTGCGGCCCGGCACTACCCGGCTCGCCAGGCATGTGGGTCGTGCCATGCCGTGGGCTGGGGTGTGCCATCTGGTGGCCCGACACGGCACGACACGATCCACCTCCTGGCTCGGCGAGGCATGGTCCGCGGCGGCCCGGCTCGGCACGATGCCTAGCTCTAGCTCTCACTAAGACTAAGAGCCTTAAACATACATTAAAAAGATAGTAAAAACTATTTCTATTCATAACTAAATATGGTATCTTTTCTTAGCTTTGACAATATGTTTAGTGCATCATTAGTTATTGGTGCATATCTTTCCAGAATTTTATAGGAAGAAATGTGATTCATCATTGTTTGAATCATTTCCAAGACTTTCGATATCTCCGTCAGGACTTACTATATTATTTATGGAGTTGGTTATGAAATTACAATACACAACCTTAAGACGGTCACTCTTGGCTCATCACTTTGATCTAATATAGATGTTTTGTTATCTTGCCAAGTCAATTATATACTTCACTGAAATTTTGAGCTACTCAAGATCCAGTTATATTTCACGTTTGATAAATATAGTCATATTCTATTCAAATTCTTGTGAAAACGTTAAAGTAATATAATCCTCTTTAGCATTCGAACTCAATTGTCTATAACACTTCCCTTTTGTTGTCATTTTTCAATAAGTAAGACTTGCTTGTCTTTGAATGAATTGAATCAATCAACTTTCAAATGTCTATCTAATAGAGCCTTGAGCGTGTTCCTAGTTATATGGACTATATGACATTGCTAAAGATAGTTGGAACATAAATCATAACTTTGACTTGAACCTTGTAAATTTTGTGTTAAAAAGAGTTGTTTGTTTATAATCAAGTATTTTTGACTCATAGCTTAAAATAAAACCAACAACCATTGCTCTTTTACTTTGAATGAGAGTCTTTTTGTGTGTAAACAATTACCTATTATTTCTTCCAGCCTTAATCTTTAAAAGGACTTTTAATAAATGAGATGACATTACAACTAATGTAACATTACTTGCTTCATTCCTAGCTCGTAAGTTAATAACTTCGCTTAACTTCTATAATTTTGATATCTCTACAAAAGTGAGATACTCAAGCAGTATCTAATATTAGTGTAGAAAGATGCAAGTTAACTACTATAACATGAACTTATAGATAGAATTGGAATCTTGAATTTCTTTCCTTTATTCCTTGATTCTCATATTTCTTATCATATATCATCTTATAACTTTAAGAGTAATTCTTTAAGTGTTTTTTACTTTTACACTTTGTTAGGCATATTTTAGTATCTATATCTAATGCACCATAAAACAAGGTTTTTTTCTTCTCTATTAATTCGTACTTGAATCACAACATTAATGAGTCCCACTCAATAGTGTATAAAACGAAAAGATATGTTGGTTGTCAACTAATGACAAATTGAGTCTTCAACTCAATACTTCATGTGTCTCATAACTAACTATTATTTTGAATACACGATGTCCAACTTAGCCATAAAAGTCACTTATGAGAAGTTGTATTTTAGAGATGTCTTTTCCTTTATTTGTTGATAGTCCTTCTCAAAATATCTCCTTTACCAATTGTTGGAAACATTATAAAACTCTATTCATCCTTTCTAAAAGAATGTATCTAGAATTCTACAAATATACGTGTAAAGTTTAACCATTCATCCAGAAAATATAATAAGCTTGAAATACATGCAAACTAGCAATTTCAATAAACATATTAATGTTTTATCCAAATTGTTACTCCCTCTGTCCCTTTATTACAGGGCTATTTCTCTAAAAGGTATGGTCTTTAAGGAAATGAGAAGATTCCTTATACATTAATCATTGGGAGTACATGACCCATGTGGGGTTTGTTTAATGCAATATTATAAAGTTTAAATTAAACCAGAAAAATTATCATTGGTTGTCATTTGTGGACTCAATAATGAAAATTAAATGTAGCTACTAACACTTTCAACCAATAGAATTGCTACAAGACAAAACAAGGACCAATAATATTTCAATAAAGAAGTTCAATTCATCCAAAAACATCAAACATGAATTGTGGAAAAAAAAAACCGCCACATATTTCATTACTGTATAGAAAGGTGGCGCCATTTTGAACGTTAAAAAAATTTCATTCAATTTTCTTACAAAGGGGAATTTTATTTATATATTTACCCATCCTACTGCCTCATTAAATTCACACAATCATCTCCTTTCATTTTTTGTTTTTTTGTTTTTTTTTTTTTGTTTTTTGAAATCTTGGCATCACTGCCTGCTGTTGAAGGCCTCAAATACGGACTTGAATGAAGAGTGGTTGCCAAGTGATGATGAGATAGATGAAATTGCAGAAGAAACCTCCATTAGGGGACTGTCGTTTGATTTAAATGAGCTTCCAGTTGAAGAAATAGGGGCAAATATCCCTCATAATCCAGAAATAGGGGCAAATATCCATCATAATCCAGAAAATCATCATCACACTCACTTATGCAATTCATCACCCAATGATGAGGCAACGAGCACAAATGGTCAAGCAACAAACCAGGGCCAAATCATCACAGGTGTCAACAGGTC